TTCTCCTTCAAATGTGTGTTGTGATAGTATTCCCAGTTTAAGGAAGGCTTGTATTTAAACAGGAGAGTAAAATTAAAAAAAAAAAATGTAAGTTTAAAAAGTTGGTCTTAATGTCTTACCCAAGTCCTTAGAAACTTTGAAACCATTTCTAGCCAAATCCGCTGCAGGTTTCACCAAGTCAGCCCAGGACAGGCTAAATATAATAGAAAATGATCATCATATCATGTATAAAATTATTTTTGTTATAAGGTGTCATGTTTTCACATAAAAATATACAAGCCTCAATGCTACTCAAATGCAGAAAATCCCATGCTAAATATAAGAAAATTAATCTCCTTAGCAGCAGATAAAAAAACATATATATATCATAAGATTTTCAACTGGCATTGCACAAATGAATATCTAGTAAATGTGCCACTCCAAAGCTTGTAATAATTAATCTATTTAAGTAAAAAATTATTTAAAACTGTCACCTTCCAAATGTATCATAAGCCTGTCTGAGTCCCTTTAATTCTCCAGGTACAGCCACAAATTTACCCTGAAATGAAAAAAATTATAATAAGTCAAGTAAAGTTGATATAATATACACATCACTGAGACATAACACAGATCTGCTAATCTGTTTTTGATTTTACAATGTCTGTTGGCAGATAATTACTATCAGACTTTTGCCGAAGGAGTGTCATCAACTAGAATAAAGTCAAATCAAGTAATAGAATAAAATAATTCATCCATGTAAAATACCACTTGAAGACATATCTACACACCTATAACAAGACATAACTGTTACAACTTCTGACGGAAAGACATGAGTGTAGTCTATTGACAATGATTATGAGTTTAAACTTTTCACTTTCTACACAAAATTTTCTCACAAAAGCTTTGTGAGGTATAACTTCAGCTTTGTGCAGCAAATGAAAAGTTAATAATCATTAACAACAACAATAACAACAAATGAACACTAAAATTTAATGGGTATAACATTCTTTTATATTTACAAGATTGAATATGTATAAGCATTAAGATTTATACCTTGGTGGGATTGTTGTTGAGCATATCCCCTGTGGCCGCTGAAGGAGCAGACGACAGGAAGTTAAAGACGTCACTCTTCATGGTCATGTGACTATGTACCAACATGACGCCTCCTCTGAAACCAAACACTAAATACTATTATACGAAAATTTCTGAAACCTTATTTTTAAGAACACTTCAAGTAATTACAGTATATCTTTTAAAATTAAAAATTGTTATGCATGGATGCAATCTTTCTACAATGAGAACAAGTTTTATAGACCATGTTGATTTGATTTCAAACTGAGAAATATGCATAAACTCAAACTACCCTCTTTCAATAACAACTTTTTTCATTTAAAAAAAAAGAAGGAAACAAGTAACAAAGAAAATCAAAGAAATGCAATAAATGGATATCTGTTGTTTATTGAAATGAAATCTTACCCTCCTAGGCCCGAATTATGGGGATGTACAACACCAAGACAAAACATGGCGGCTATGGCGGCGTCCACAGCTGTTCCGCCTCTCTGCATGATGTTCACTCCAATCTGAGAGCACACTGGGTTATCTGACGTTACAACTCCATGTGGTGGGACCTGCAGAATGTCAAAAATAAAAACCTGTAACTTTTCACTCCAGCTGGTCACTATGACTAGCAGAAAACTATTGATCTTAAAAGAATTTTTCAAGTCTGAACACTAAATTTAAATTCATTGGTAATAATCTTCAGCAAAAAATGCCCCTGACCTTGGCACAATTAAATGTCCTTGACCTAGATTTAGTGACCTTGATCTACAAACAATGCCCTTGACCTAAAAATAGTTACTTACCTGAGGAGCACCAAGGTAAATCTGTAGAATTAAAGCCAGAGTAATGACGACAGCAAACGATATGGAGGATCCAACTATAACTTTTAACCCTTTGCCTTCCTTAGCTGGGCTGAATTTTAATCAAGAATTGATATGTTAGATGAAATGTGTCTTGCAAATGGGTAAAAATAAATCAAATAATGAAGAATTATAAAAATACAAGGTCACAAAATGAAAACAATATCATTTCTTATGGAATATAAGTAATGAAGTACTAGTATTCTATGGCTTGTGAAGTACAAAAACCTTTCAGGTGTATTTGTTGTATCAATAAAGAAAATTATTTGGACTGATTTTAAAATAATTCCTTTTTGTCTCAAGTGAGAAAATCCTACACCTGAATTCTGTGTTAAACAATTACCAAAGATCCCCTTGTATTCTAGAATATTCAGTGTATTTTTTTTCACAGTTCTAATGTTGTCCTGTAATGAATGTAACAGTCCAAAGAACTGTTTTTGGGAAGTCCTTCAGAATGTGTTAGAAAAGATTAAAAACATTTTTCATTAATAGAGAAAAACATTATGTTCTAGGACAGATTGAGAACCGTAAGTGAGCATTAAATGAGACAAACTTTTGCAGGGGTTGTGGCAGATGTGGCATTGCATTAGGTGAGATAATACCATACCTGGATTGTGGTCTAGAAGGGTCCAGCAAGGTTTCAGCTGCTCTCTGTAAGGGCGATATCTCCGTATGGACGGGAGACCGTACCGCACTATTAATGCCCTGCATCGCTGACGGGTGACTCGCTGGGCCATCGTCTTCATTTACCAAGTTGGTTCTACCTGAAGAATCTATTTAGGAATAGAATGGTCAGTTAACAAGAAAAAATAATTTAATTTTCATTTTTCATTCATTTTATTTTTTGTGTAAGGTAAATAAGAGGAAAATTCTAATTTTTCTTAATTTTAAACCCCCTTATTGACTGAAGATATATCATTTCCAAAACACTGTTTTAAACAACATAAGTATGTTCACTTTTACTGAAGAATTACCGTCACATCTCTATTCACTGCTATACACTTACAAAATAGCAGAGAAAAAAATCAATATTTGCAGAATCATCTATTGCTATTGAGCAATTTATATGTACTAGTAATTACATCTGTCTGCTTTATTTCTTCTGTGAGGTCTAAAATGATACCAGCTATATTGTGATGCCACAAGTTATCAGTGTCATTATTGTTATGACTAAAGTTATTAATGTCATACTGGTACAGCTCTTGAAATTACTCGAGGCTCAACTCAATAATAATAATGAAGACAAGGTCAAAACATGAACAACAACTCTGAGCACTAGTATGTCAAACTGTGAATGAAGGGCCTATGCAATTGCCATGTAATACAATGAAGGGAATGGGCAGTGCACCCTCAATTTTATTAAAGAGAGTGAGAGAATGTGTGTTACAGTATATATGTGTGTGTACTGTAGCTTGTGTGCGTACTCAGCTGGTGTGTATGTGTGTTTGTGTGCAGCTGGTGCACGCTCGGCTGTCACCTTGATTGGATAGTAAACGATTGTCGTAAAATCGCTAAATGATATTAAAATCGGGTGCATAAACTAGAAAACCACCTAGGACAACCTAAGACTGCCACATTAATCCAATACAATGCAAAAATAAACTATAACAAGTGGTTAAAGCCTTCAAACCGAATGTCGTAAAGTCCCCATATACCTCCATAGAGACAATAAAATATAGTAAGCTTCTGAAACAAACCTGACCCAGTTCCAACAGAATAATCGAAATAAAATACTGCCGGGCATCGGAGCGGCCTAAAACTTGGCACGCTTACCGCTAATACTGCAGGCTACATCATCCCATCGCTCGTTTGTAAATTCCGTGCACAATCAAACCGTAAATCAAAATTCCACCTCTGATGTTCAAGTTGGTCCACTCTAACCTACCATTACGAAAAAGAAGCCATGCCATTGGACAATGCGACCTCTGCGGTTACGTCATTTCCTGAATTGGATTGTTGAGAGGACCAAGATAAACATCAGGGGTGATATTTGGTGATATTTGGCTTTACGGTTTGATTGTGCGTATGCCATGCACGGAATTTACAAACGAGCGTCATTTTTTTTTTTTTTTGATTTTTCACCATTTCATATCATTTCACTTATTTGGATTGGTAATGTAAATATTTTAGATAACAAAGTGAAATGTAAAAAA